GCCTTACTATAGCCTTACCATCGTGAAAAAATCCATACAAATAAAAAGTCCCCGAAATGCACTAAAATGCAAGATTAGGTCCTAAAACATGCTGCCAAGTGATTATTTTGTGTTTAAAAGTCCAAAAAGTATTTTTTATGAATATTTCCAAAATCACCCAAAACACGCCTTACTAAAGAATGGACAGAATCAGGAATGAGGTCATTAGAGGGACAACACAGACAGGAAGGTTTGGAGAAAAAGACAGAGAAGCCAGATTGAGATGGTTTGGACATGTGCAGAGGAGGGACAGTGGAGACATTGGTAGAAGAATGTTAGAGATGGAGCTACCAGGTAGGAGAAAGAGAGGAAGGTCAAAGAGGAGACATATGGATGCCGGGAAGGAGGACATGCAGACAGTTGGAGTCAGAGAAGGAGATACAGAGAACAGGGAGAGATGGAAATCAATGATTTGCTGTGGAAAAATGGACAAAGCCGAAAGAAAAAGAAGAAGAAGAAGTGGATGGGGATGCGTCAGTAACATTTGACATTAGTGTTGATGCATGTACGGGAGAACAAATGAGATTTTGGAGGGATTAAAAACAGGGAGCAGATTTGCTCTATTTTATCCAGTTTTTATTGAACAGAACCAACTGGGTTTTTTTGTTTGTTCATGTTTGTACAGTGCGTCGTGAAATCTCTCCTACTGCGATTCCTGCTATTAGTACAAAATGCATCTTTTAGAAAAGCATCATCTTCCAATATGAGACAGTGCAGAGTTAGTGGCATCAGAGAATGGTAATTGTACAGCATCGATAGACAAACGTAGAGAGAACAGAACATGGATGTAAACTTCCTACGTTCTAAAGTACATCAGAGCGTGAACAGTTCAGAGTTAGACACAGCAGGGTTTGAACTGAGGTGGCGTGTGTGAACTTTACAGTACAAAGTGAGGTGATCTTTTTTTTTTTTTTCCTTAAACCCCACAACACCTCCCATGTGCAGCAGTGTCTTTCAGACAAACCCATCAAACATCAGGTGTTCGTACTCACCAACTGTTTTTGCACCAAAGACTTTAGACGAGATTTCAACAAAAGAAAAAAAGATATTAATCACAAACCAGAAACATGTGACACAAACCAACATGACAAAACAAACATGAGGTAAAAAACAACATAAAAAACACGGCTGACAATGTCACCACAACATTTGACTTCATTAAAACTCACATGATGGAGAAACAGAGGTGACGTTTGTTAGATTTAAATAATCATTTTCCAACTCTGACAGACATTTTCATTCCTCTCTTTTACTCTTATTCACTTTGTAGAAATAATAATAATAATAACTAGTGCAGTAGCACAGGGAAACAGGATATGGAACATTTTCACCTGCTCCTTCATATTGTAAACATAAATGAAAAAAGTCCCATCCCACCCAAACCCACCCCAGAATGTTAGTCATGGAAGATCTACAACCCAGCCACCTGCTGCCCTCTAGTGGTCCACTGACTCATACAGTCAGATTTCTTTTAAAACAGTCCCTGCAGCTTAATTTTACAACTCATCTTTGTGTTTAGAGTCTATGCCTCCGTTGTCCTCCTCCTCCTCCTCCTCCTCCTGCTCATCTACCTCTTCTTCTTCTTCTTCTTCTTCCTCTTCTTCCTCCTCCTCCGTTTTCTTCTCGTCTTCTTCCTCCTCCTCTTCTTCATCCTTCACCTCTTCTCTCCTTTTCTGGTTTTCTTCTTCTCGTCTCTTTCGCTCCTCCTCCTCTTGGCTCTCCTTCATCGTCCTCTCTGCATCCTGAGGCACAGAGAAGACAAAGTCAGAGGTGAAAGGTCACGGCTTCATGAGTCACATTTTAGAGAACATTCAAAGCACAGAATTTTTTACTAAAACATGCGTTTGTTAAGAAAATAAAATCTGCACTTGCCTTAGTTTTGCCCCAGGTGTCGTTACCAATTTCTTCTGCCATCTCGGGGTCATTGGTGATGAGGAAGTTGTCAAAAATGGTGCCTGACTTGACCTTTTGTGTTGAAAATAAATAAATAAATAAACAAGTTAAAGCTTTATCCCTTTGTTTGTATTTTTCTGTGTTGTTTGCGTCTCTTTGCTTTAAGTGAAAAGCTAAAAGTCTTTTTCCTCCATGCCATACTGACCTGCCACAGGTCCAGACCAATCACGCCGATGCTGTCGTATTTGTAGATCTCGGGGTCAGCTGTGTATTCTGGATTATCAATCTCAGGGTGGATCCACTTGCCTTTGTAGGCAGGATTGTCAATTTCTCTGGGCTTCCATTCACCCTGTGGACAGTAAACATTACAAATACGGAGAGACAGGGGGTTATGGGTAATGTCAGAAGAATCAGAAAAGTGAACCTGTTGATAAAGGAGATCAAATCATGTATAAAAGTAGAAAATATAAAACTATATTTATTCTACTTGCGGATATTACGCTTGCGGTTTTGCCGCCATCTATTGGCCTTGAACGTATTTACATCTGTAAAATGCATCAAATCCTTTTAATATTTCTTAAGATTTACTGTTAATCGTTACTCTCTCTGTTAGCTTATGATATTTACCAAACTATTTTTTAAAAATATTTATTTGAGCTATTATCAAATATACAAGCCGCAAATAGTCAAAATAATATATAATATATTATGTTATATAAGTGTGTTCTACATGTTATTATGGGATAGTTTGTTGTTCACCTTGTAGTCAGGGTTGGAGACCATCGGTGGTTCCCACTCTCCGTCCATCTCATCATCCCAGTCATCAGGCTTCTTAGCGTCAGGATCTGGGATGTTCTCAGGTTTGTCCCAGTCCTTTAGAGAATAAATCGTGATAAAAATGTTTGTTTAAAATGTGTTTTTCAATCTTTTTTTCCACATTAAAAAGGAGGCCAAAAATTCCAAACAGATGCACCAAAACTGACTGACCTCTGGTTTCTTATCTTCAGGATCTGGAATCTTCTCCTGGTCAACCCAGTCCTCTGGTTTTTTGGCCTCTGGATCCTTAATTTTTTTGGGAGGCAGGAAGTCCCAGTCGTCCTCCAGGTTTCCAGACTCAACCTTCACGTTATCGATCTTGACCTCGTAGGTGTTGTCAGGGTTGACGATCAGTGTGTACAAGTGGGTGTACTCGTCGTCCTGCAGAAACGAACAGAAATATAGGTTTACATGTCGTTTGATTGATGATTCATTTTATATTTATACATTATTTGACATGTTCTTAATGTTTTATTGATTCAAGGCAAAACTGCACAGGTAAAACACCAGCAAACAACCAATGATGTAGGTCAAACCTTGCATCTCACGTCCTTGTTGATCAGATGGTTTTTGCCTTTATAATTGAAGATGACATGAACCTTCTTTGTGCCGGGGCCGCAGATATCAGGACCTGGAGATCGACACATTTATAGTGTTTCAGTTCAAGGTAAGTGTTTTTAGTTTTGATTAAAAATGAAATCAAACACCTTGATAAATTGACTGACCAAACATGATGTTGTAGGTGGAGTCTCCGTGCATGTCCTCCTGGTTGAGTTCAGAGGGGAACAGTTTGATGTATCCTCCGCCACAGTCGATGCTCTGCTCGTGTTTGACGGTGAACTGGATGACTAACGGCTGGCCCTGGTTGCTGACGTCATCAAAGCGGGCAGACAGTGCGTAGAAGCGTGCGTCCTGACTCGTCTGCAGGCCTGAAAAAAGAATCATTGTGACTCTCCTGGACAAACACTTTTTGGAGAGTGAAGTGTGAACTGCAGCATTAATTACAATACAAAAAAATTGGTTTTGAATTAAAATCGACGGACACAAACTAAACAGTTGTATTTAGCAGTGAAAACGTATCTGATTTGTAAAATATAAATACTAAAATGTTAGTGTTTGTATTTGTATGTCCAAACCAAATGTTTATCTCGTCTGTTAAGCTGCACCAATAGCGCCCTCTGCGGGACCACGTTGCAAAAATATCATTCTGAGTGCAGTCGAGCCTGCATTAAACGTATTTATTTATTAATGTTTTTTAAACACCAAACTGAAACATAAAGAACAGGAAAAGAGGTAAACATTTGTTTAAACTCTGAATTGTTAATAAAATACAGTCTGATTTATACAGCTTCTTACTAGATGGATAAAGAAAGATTGTTATCTAAAATTAAAAATACTGTGAATGTCGGCTGTGTGTATCGTTTGTTTTCTGTTGTTCTCAAACTATAGTAAGAATAACTCTCAGGGTCAGGGTATGATGTAACTTACCTTTGTCTTTGTCTGCATCTCCATAGAAGTTCCCTGCTGACAGGACAAACCTGCCGTAGTCTGACTTGTGCTTGGATTCAAACCAACGACTCGTCCAGGCATCTGAATAAACAGGTTCAGAGTCAGCCAATAGATACAGTGCACACACATGTTGAGTTACTTTGGTAAACACAGGTATGACTATATCCATTTAGTAATGACAATAATGGACATTATCATGATGAGAAACCGTAGTGTTTCACACACCTGCTACAGCGACAGCGCCAGTATGATCTGTGAGTCACAGACCATTGTTGTTGATTATGTTTTAATGTCCATTAGTCATGAAAAGGTGACTGATTTGAATGAAGGTGATGGAAGGGGGGAGGAGTGAGTGACCTCCAGGACAGAGACGTGACGGAGGGGCACGGGGGGGTGAAGAGGGTGTGGTGGGTCACAGGTAAATAGGAAGTCGTTCTGACTACAGTATTCTCCATCTGTCCGGTTAACAAATAAATCACAGCATCACGTGACAAACACCGGTCAGAGACATAGTCGAATTACAACAATACGGTGCCATGTCAATAACCGAATGCCCGAATAAGACGTAACAATAACAGTCCAGAGATGAAGGTTAAAGAGAAGAGAAGACGAGCCTCACCTCCATCCTCAAACTGCTCTCGAAAATGCACAGTAGATTCGGCCAGGGCAGACGCGGCCGACACGGCCAGCACCAGCAGCGGCAGGAGGCTCATTGAAGCGAGCTAAAAGCTAAAGGTTATGAGGTAAAACAACAAAAACACGAACCACTAATTGAGGACGTCCGAAATAACACAAATACTCTTCGGAACAGCCGGGTTTCAGTGCTGTGTGTAAAGCAATCACGGTACTCAAGACAGTCGCTGCGGCTGGTCGCCTCTCCACACAGAACAAATGTCTGCATTCGATTGGACGTCGCCTCAAAGCATCAACACGGAAGTGTGACAGTTCTCGGCCAATCCGATGGAAGACGCTGTGGAAATTCCATAGAGCCAATAAGGAGAGACCACGCGTTTGGCCGAAACAAACCCAGGCGAGGATAATGATGATGATGAGTGCCACTGCCCGATCTACAGCACCTGCCCGATTTGCATTATAGTCCTATTTGCGCATGCGCGAGTGGTGGCCATCTTGGACAGCGACAAACGGCAACTCCACTTGGACAAACTTCAGTTGAGCACCAATTCTTGATTTGCAGTACGGCCGTTTAAACATTCGAGTACACAAACTTAAAAGAGTTCAGTTGTATTCAGACACATTATTTGTAACAATCATATAATATTACAACACGAAATCTCCTAGGTCACGTGGTCTATGGTTACACTGTATCTTTGTTCTGCATTTATTCCTCAAAACAATGTAAAAATGTGTACGTTTTTTATATTTTCAAATCCTACATTTTTAAATGTGATTAATAAATACTAATAAAATATAATAAATAAAAAAACAAATCCATGTGATGCCGTTTGAATGTGATTTTCCCCTTTTATTATACTGTTACTTCTATTCTCCTTCATCCTTGTACCCCTAACAAAGTCTGGAAATTATTATAAAGCAACAAAAAAGTTAAAAGTTAAAATCAAACAATTAAGCAATGGTGTAAACAGGACAAAATGCACCCTTCTTAAACAAATATGTTAAATAAATAAATAAATATTAATAAGTATTTTTCTTTCTCGGACTAAAGTAACAACTTCATGTCAAACTGTTCCTATTTGTGGTACACGGTTCATGCCACAATCAAGGTTCAATATTATTATCATCAGGATTATGGCTTACGTAATTAACACCTCAGCATCTAAACAATTCCAAAAAATTATTAGGTACAGAATTATATTCAAATATGGCACATATATGTTGATAACAACAGGGAAAGCTAAAACACACAGGACCTTGATAATGATGATAATAATCATCACCATCACCATAATAATAATAATACAATATGTCAGTGTTCAAGATAAAAGCACAAATGTAAATAATGTTCACAATATAGAATAATATACACTTCACGACCACTTCTATATCCGTGTCTTCTTCATCACACTGCAGGTGATAAAACTGGACATGAGCCACTCTGGGCCTTTGTCCTCTTACCACTGGCCCTGATGTCTCATCTTTGTGAAGTGACCCTAACAGACATGTTGGGATACACAGTGCAGAACAGAGCACACTTCTTTGTGCCTCTATGTGAAAAGTCTGGTAGAAACATCTCATACCTCCTCCTGCTCCCCCACTTCCAGGTGTCTTTGTCTTTGTCTTCTACTAGGGCAGGAAGAAGTTGATCCTCTGGGGTATGGATTTACACCCCTGGGATGAAAACAGCCTCTCCTCTTTAGGAACATATAACATCGCTTTGGCAACTTCATCCAGTGTAGCTTCGTCTGTCTCCAGACCCCGGGCGATGTAAGCGTCCCGTGCACAAAGCTTCACGTGTCGGTACTCCAGAGGTAAGAAGGGCACGTAGAAGTCGATTAAGTGACCAGACATCAGCTCGCTCTGTGCAAATCCACCTGGATGAGATAATCATGCAGAAAATAATCCAAATTATTTAACCAAAATTTAAATAAACAATATAAGCGATATGATTTTACTGCAGAGGTGAACAGCAGCAAGCTCATGTATCGAAACAGACAACACGGCACCTTGAGATTCCATCGTTTCAGCCCGTAGTCGATGTTCCAGGTCTTCCATGCCGATGTCCTCTCTGTTTTGACCAGAGTGCCAAAAGTCAAGTGCTACTTCATTGATTGCTACTCCACCAATGGTACTGTAGAAACAAAAGGTGAAGAAAAGAACATGGAGTTTTGGATATGCTTGTCTTTAAGCAGCCAGTGGAGCTACATTTATTTCTGTTGACAAAACAAAGCAAAAATAGTCAAGACATGAATCTTCCTTAAAAGGACAAAGACGTTCTGGGGATAACAATATCATTTCTTTAGAATATCATTGGATTTAAACAGACAGGATCCTCTGGGAAAATGCAAAACAATGAACCAACCTGAGGAAGAGGAAGATGGCTCTCCGGTAACTCACACCATCAACGTTGTCATAGTAATCCAAAAAGGGTTTGATAGCATCGATGAGGCCGGGGTGAAGCTTCTCAGCCTCATCAAAGATAAACAGAGTCTGAGGGCAGCGCAGCACCATGTCACGGATGGCTTCTTTCAGCTGGCCCTAAAACACACAAAATTATTTCCTTTAACAACTGGCATTTTATTTCGTTTTATAGCCATCTGCTGCCATCTAGTGGAAGAACATTTAATTGTTCTTCCTATCACTGTCACAGAAGAACAAAGAAAAAATATTTGCAGTAAATTAATAATAGTTTTCAGACCAATGAAGTGAAATTTGATTATTTTACACAGCACTACAATAATATCATGACACGTTTACCTTGTACGTGTCCACCAGCCTGGCATGTGGGAAGTGGAATGGAGTGATGAACAGACGGACACACTCACTCTTCACACCGTCACGATACAGGTTATCAGCAATGATGCGGGCCACAAAATTCTTGCCAGTACCAGACCAGCCGTGGAAGGAGAGGGTCAGCGGCTTGTTGGACTCTGGGTTGTTGATGAAACCCTGAATGGCTTTCAAGACCACAGACTGAGCCAGGTGCTGTCCATGGAGCTTTGTCTGGAGATCACTGGCCAGACCTGCAAAAACAACATGTCATGACTGGGATAAATACTGTGTATCACATGATTCTATTGTTTAATTATGTAATACTACTATATGTAGTTATAATTCCACAAAATTGTTTTATTTGTTCTACCTGATGAAGAGAAGTGGGTTGTTCCTCCCGGGCGGAAACTTTTCTATATTACGTTTCTATATTTTTGATATAAAACACACTCCCTCTTTCTTCTGACTTTGTGTTGGTCCTTGTTTTCAACATTTTATTTAATTCTGTAAAATATATTTATTTATTTGTGTACTTTGTAACAAAATGTATTTTGTTCTATGTAAATTCCGTCAGATCAAGGCGTTGGTGAGAGCAGCTCGATGGCTTTATTAAAACACAATGCAGAAGCTACACTGGTTACACTACATTTTAAGTTCTTCAGGTGGTGTAGGCGTAACTTAATGCTGGTATTTTTGTGGCAACAAATAAACCAACCAACTTGAAACATATATACATTCATATATTTTAGTTACTAGTATAAGCTTCAACACTAGACCAAAAATTCAGTTTATTTCTAAAGGTTTAACTCATAATACGTTCCGTAAACACAGCCTACAAATACTGTACATATACATTTCCATATCGAATTTTATACTTTGTTAAATATCCTAGATGCAGTGTGACCTGACACGCGGTTTTGAGGAACTCAAGAGAACTACATCACTCACCACCAAGAACAGAGTGGCCCAAACCCTGGTTCCTACCTGTGATGTTGTTGATTATCCTGCAGTCTCCAGACTCACAGCACTGGCCCAGGCTACAGTACCACTGATTCATCAGACTGATGGAGTCCTGGGAAAAACCTGCCCACAGGTCTCTGGTCGGAACTGACACACACACACACACACACAGGGGTAAACAGTGTTAGCGACGGTACAATTGCTAAAACATTATTACAGTCGGTTCACTGGCTTCCGGAACATGCATACATTTCCCTACCTTGCTGCGTGGCATCGTCCTGGTGTGGCTGACACTGCCCCTCCCATATGTTACAATAAATGTAATTAAAATAATAAGTGGAGACGTTTGATATGCTGTCGAACTGGAAGAAGTCGGCCCGTGTAGACAGAGCCCCTAGCAGAGGCAGAAACCACCGCAGGAACATGGAGGAAGATGTATCTCCTTCTGTGCATCCCCAAGACGCTGGACTCCGAGTCCCAGACCCTGTGTCCCATTTATATGGACCCGACAGTGATTGCAGGAGGCCAGGCCTGAGCAGCGCGGTGTGACTGTGATGGGGGTTTCCTTCTCTAACCACCGGAGTAGCACAGGAGCGCTCGTTTCGTCAACACATGCGGCGCCGGCGGGCGGTTGCTTGGCTTCGCCCATCGCAAAAACTACTACAAAAATGGCTGCCCCCTACCCGCCTCTAGTTCATTCGAAGAAAAATAATGGTGTTCGTTTTATACGCGTTATAATGACACCACTGACATAACAACCCAAGTGCGTCATTGCTTTAGCACTACTAAATACATTTAGCTAATGCTAACTTTTTATATTATCCGTATTATCAAAGATGAGAAAATCTTTCAAATGGTTGTCTGGGGAGTCCTAACACTTCGGTAAATCGCATCCCACCCAAGTTCTGACAGGTTAAGCATCGTGCTTGGTTAAAGTCAACATATGTCTCAATTGTGACTAACGCAAGAATTAAAAATAAAAAATTGAATAAAAACAAAGCGATCGCTTGTAAGACTATTAACTGCCAGTAGATGGCAGTAATCGATTTTCCAATTGAGTCAAACTGCAATTTGTAGGGGAGAATCAAACAAACCGAGTCGTTATTATAGGCTGCCATTACATAGTTCATTATAGAAAACCACACTACAGGTAAAACTCTGTCAAATAAGTTTTATTGATTTAACTTTAACAATGTCACATCACACCACGAGAGAGGCCACCTGGTACCATGGGTCGTCGTCCACTGAGAACTGCTTCTCCAAGGAGGTCTGCGCTCCTGGTGGAAAGAAAAAGTCTCATTAATTACCTCTTTAACATGACAAGTTAGAGAAGATTAAGTTTGTTGACTTGAGCCTCAGTTAAAATGGAACGGTAAGGGTTATAATCACAAAAATTCATTTGGCAGAATCATCACATCATCGGCAAATAGTCAACCACCTTTGACAGCATGGAACAAAAGTTTAATCCTTACCATGGTATTCAGATGAGACGGCACACCTTCCTGGGGAGAGGAAATTGTCTTTAGTAATGATAGGAGCGTGACATGTCAACCTCCTGTCTATCCATCTCTCAGTAACAGATCTGTCCACATGAAAGTTCAGGTCAGACATTTGTATAAACATCACTGAAACAAGTAATTTTTTTCCACTTGGGCCAAATCATGATTCTCACCTGTTTCTGGTGTAGACGTCATGGATCAGACGCTTGTCAGATTTTCAACCTGAAGAAAACAGAAACATAAGTTGAATATGCACATGAAACACTTGAGTTAACATTTTACACTGACCAGTTCAGCTAGAGCTAATAAACTGACATCACATTTAAGTCAGTCTTATGTTTATCATCACACAGGTCAGATAAAAACAAACTGAAAACAGCAAATATCTTTACCTTTGGAGCATGTGACCATTGATGCCTGTCAGTCTGCAAAGACAAATTTGTCATGAGACAAGTGCAGGAGAGGGAGGGTGGGGCACTTCCCAATCAAGTCTTTTACAGATCAGAATAATTGACATCTATCCTCAACTGGATCAGAGACCTGATTCAAACTCATCACATCTGTCGGTCAACAGAACTGTCCTGATGTGATGAGAACACCCACCGACAAGATTGCGAAGATTTCTTCCACCAAGCTCCAACATCTGCAGAGACAGGAGGAGAGTTAGTGGTGTTTTTTTTTAAGCTCTCTGAACAGAGTAGTTAAGAGGACACTTCAGATAGGAGCGAAAGACAAAAGTATTCTTCACTGTCAGTCTGTTGAACTATGAAATCATCACTGTGTCAAGAATCATAATTTATCATAATTTTGTCCAACTCACCTTGGGATTTTGCAGGAGACGCTGGCTGTGGGGAGGGAAAAATAACTGGTTAAACATTTGTGGAAATCTCGGGGGATTTTCATGTCACAGTTGGATGCATCAGATAGGAGCGAAAGACATGGTTCATCGTCATGGGTATCTGCTGAACTATGGGATCATCACAGCATCAGAATGGTTTTTAAAAGCAAGAGCCAATTAAAATACTCACCCTCACATCAAGACAAGAACTTGCGAATCAGTCACCATGAAACACCTGTGAGACAAATGACTGACATTAATAAAAGCAACAAATGTTACAGATGCATCTTTATATGTTTGCACTGTATCAGGAAAAAAAAAATCTTTCATTCTTTTCAGAGAGATTCCCATTGTTTTTAAACAAAATCATCATTTACAGTCATGTGTTGAACTAACAAGTGTATGTAGGACTTAATCCTTTACCTCATGATGATGCTGAGCTGATGTTATCAACCTCAAAGACCTGCAGGAACAAAACAAAGTCAGCAATCACAACAAGCACTTTGTGTTAAAGTCCAATCCTTCACAGTGCCTCAGATAATGCAATAAGGTGGTTATGCAATTCATCATCTACTTTTCAAGAGTAGCAAATAATGTCATCACAGTAGCACAGAAATCAAAAGCCTGATGCTTCCCTGGTGTCTTCCAGTGTTTGTAGTTAGTCAGGACAAATATGTTTTTACAACACTTTAGATCAGATCATTTTACAAAAATGAAAACAGCTGTAAATAAGGTTTAAAGTTTGTTTTATTTTTGCCAATTCACATTCCACCTTTGGACAGTGTCTGGTACAGATTTGATGACTATGAGGGGACACATTTGGAAGAACCACCAGAGAACATCAATGCTCTTTGACATTATAATCCTACATTAATCTCACCAACCTTAAGCCTTGATTGTCCATTTGGGTCACGTCTTAGATTTTTGATGAACCCTGTCAAATAAACACCTTATTAACAAACATGCATATCTAGGAAGAAACAATGAATTCACAACAGAAGTCTCAGTTTCGTGTTGCTCAGAAATCTCTTCTGTCCACTACTCTTATACATCTTAAATCATCAGTGACTTCAATTAGGTACACGTGGCAGAATATAGAGATTAATTACCATCTCTGCAAGATGGGGTTCTTCAAAGTTGAGAGTTTCATTTTTAACCTGGGGGGAAAAAATACTTCAGTCAAAAAAAGAAAAAGAAAAACTACTTCACCATTAAAAGCTTACATTTGTTCTATGATGTCATTATTGGGAAAAACACTTCAGTCAAAAAACTACTTAACCATTAAAAGTTTACATTTGTTCTATGATGTCATTATTGAAGCTATAGTGACCACATGTAATGGTTTTCTCACCACGTGTCGCCCACTGTGATTTAGAGTCGATCCAACCAAACCTGTAAATTTAAAGAATCAATGTCAGAATGAACGCATGGGCTTTTTTTAATGAACGCATGCTACTCCAAGTAAAGCAAATATATACTGTCCCATTCAGTCAGAAAAGTTGGCATTTCTTCAGTTTAAATCAGATGTCCCTACCAACATTTATTTCATCACACAGACAGGGACAGCAGGATACAGTGAAAGTTATAATATTACAGCAGGAGCACTTAGCTGCAGTGCTACACGTGGCTGAGGCCTGCTGCTAACTGCTAACAGAAACTGAGCTAACGTTAGCCTGCAACTTCAAAATGTGCGTAGGTGCTAATAAAACCTAAAAGGTGACTCTTAGCCACCTAATAAACAAGTATAAAACGTTTTTAAGGAAGTAACACTAGTCAAATATCACCTAAAGTTGGAAAAAGTCAAGAACTACGACCAAAAGAAAGCTGCGTCATACCTGTGCGAACCAGTTCAGAGGAGTGAGAGCAAGGAATGAGAGCGAGCAGAGCGCGCAGCAGCTTTTTATAGGAGAAATCGCACAGACTTATGGGATACAATACTAACTAGCGACCTCTACAGGTTTTAAACTATAGACGACGTAAAAACCGGCGGCGGTGACTAGCGACCTCTACAGGATTTAAACTAGACGACGTAAAAACCGGCGGCGGTGAAAAAAGTTACAAAAAAAATTTCATATCCATGTACATAATTTAAATAAAAAATACGTCATTTCACTTTGCAAAATAGGAACCACAATATAAATCTTATCCTGAGCCACGGTCGTCATTTCCTACCAAAATGTTTCTACTCTGTCGGCCGCCATGTTGCATTGTAATGGTTTACGTTGGCTAACAGTCGTAAATAGCTGCTCACAAGAAGACAAAGAACAAACTTAAACCAAAACGTTCAACTATATATTTTTTCCAATATAGTTTACCTCTGAACTTAATCAGTATAAATCAGTAATAACGACAAATAGGGTAACATTTAATAATTTACACGTGTAGGTACTTTAGCCAAGTAACCTAAATTTTATTATGAAAAAAAAATCTTATCCTGCTACTAATAATAAACGTGTCCTACTGCCATCATCGACTCTATGGTCCAGTTGGTGAACCTGAAAAAACAAAGAGACATTTCTGTCAACATCATTAAAATGCTCCTAAAAAGAACCATGACAAAAACCACAGCAGTAATAAACTGTTGGAGGTTTAATATTAGGCATCGATAAACAGGAGAATTTGTTACAATCAATGGCTTTATGATCAGAAAAGAAAAAAAATGGTTTTGATTAATTTCCTTCAGGTGATATTAAAAGTGAAATGTATGGAAAGGCCTCGATTGAATATAATATACAAAGAAATAATATGGAGGAAATAAATTAACTTTAAAGTATTTCAGAAACAGGTTTTTTTTTAGCAAGTGTCCCTTAAAACTGATGCTTCAGACATTTAAACAATCACAGCAACCACACGTTTTGTAATCAGCATTTTCTTGGGTGCACATACAGCACCAGGTCCATAAAATGCTTCACAAGATTCAACAGAATTTAACATTAAAACTTCATCTTCACTTAATCTGACTCATTAGGGAGCATTATTAGATACTGGTTATTGAGATATTCTGGGGTGTTTCCAGCGTCTTGTAATTTTCAGTATTTTCTCCTGGTCTCATGGCATTTAAAAAAAACAACCGTTGCAACTGTTACTTAAGAGCATGGAAGCAGATGTATGTTGTAGAATATTTCGAAAATTGTGGTTCTTAACAAACGAAAAAAAAGTGAATGCATCTTTAAATGTAGCAGCACTTCATAAGATCGCTCCTCCCGACAGCACTGGAGCCGTCCTCTCTGAACACCAGGACAGAGGGAGACTCCACAGACTCAGTCCAAGCTTTATAACCTCGTCACACACCAGCAATTCAGAAAGTCTAAAATATGTAAACACTTGTTTGTTCATGAATGCAGTCAGGAAGAACTGAAGCATTTTCAGAGGACTGTGTTTTTTTTTTCTTCCTCTGCTTAGATCCCGACAGTCTTTTTCACAAAACCTTTATTGGCATTGAGGACGTGGTAATGCTTCTTTTTTTTTGCAGGCAACAAAACAAATGATTGAATTTGCATATATATTTCATACATGTGTGCTGTGGGATATGCAGGGGGTGGACCTCTGCAGGGCACATTAAGTAGGAACTGTGAAGGACTGAATGGGTATCTGTGCAGAATATCAAAATGACAAATGGAATGATTTCTAGAGTTAAGCCATCAAGTTTATACCCTTGAACATTTTTACACTATTGGCAGAAAAGTAAATAAACAAAAATAGCAATTGGAAATAAAAAAAGGTTATATATTTATATATCCATCATTTGTATATCATATCTGTATATTTATATATAAACAAGAGTTATAACTAGTTGCAGGCAAGCAGAGAATTTCTCCTCTGCCCTTTAAGATTCGTCCGTTCCACAGTTCTAAGGCTGTCAGACTCTCAGAGGGGCCAACAACCTTCGCCTCAGTCATCAGGTTCCCTGAGATGTAGAGCGCTGTTTGCTTTGTCAAGGTTAATGTGATTTGGACACCAACAAAACACTGTTTTCTTTTTTTTAACCCATGTCCCAACGGGGGACCGTGTGTGTGTGTGAAGGAATGGGTGCGGCTCTGGTTTGTCACATGGAGCTGACTGCAGGTGGCGTTGTGAAGCTGACGGAGAGGGTGGAGACATGGAACTGCTCTCATCTCCTGTACGCGCTGACGAGTCTCGCGATGGCTGCGAAAGTCAAGTTTGCTCAAATAATAAGGAGAGGAGAGTCGCCGGACGTCACGTTACAATTTTGATGCGTCCACTATTGGGTTTCATTCATTTCCATGTTGTTGTTTTTCAGTTAAATGCAAAGCTGTGTACACGTTCAATCACCAGTCATTCCAAAGCTCGAAAAGAAAGTGGTTTCTGCAAAAGAGTTCTTATGAAGACTCTGCTGTGTGTGCATGTTTTTACACACACTCGGGGGTGTGTGTGTGTGTCAGAGAGCGTGTTGTCTTCTCAGTGCCTCTGAGAGGCTACTCTCTTTAATAGCGGCTCGTCGTACACCCAGCACTCGCCGTCTTCATGGAAAAGCTGGAAAAAACACATGACCAAAGTAAGACCCAGATTCTCGACAGAATACTGTATATTTCTAGCCACATTTTAAAAAAAATTAAATTATTTTAATAATAAACTAAATACTGTCACTTTTCCAACATTACTCTGGTGAAAATGAGTTGGATTTAGGTTAATATTTGATAAATATTTTTTATCTACTTTTTGAACGTTCTCTATTTTGTGTCATTGATAAGGTCATCAAGAGAAATTTGTAAAACAAAAACCTGTTTAAGTCATTACTTCAATGTTAATATTGTTTTTAAATATATACATTTTACTGTTTTGCAGATGAATCTGAAATTATTCAGTGAGGAATTATTAACACCATTACTGCTCTTTATATGAGGGTAAAACTCACCCTCGTCTCCCACTGCTGTTCGTTTTCCTTCCTCTCTCTTGCCTCCGCTCTCTGTTTCTCCTCTAACCTGTGTTTGGCTTCGGTTGCTGCATCAATGTCTTTGAGCTTCAGGTTCAGAGTCACATCTCGCCACAGTCTGATGTAAAAATGAAAAATAGGTAAAAGTCAAACATACACTTTTAAACAGCATTTTTAAATGGAAGAAGCTTCTGCTCTCACCTTCTGGACTCGTATTCAAGCTGGTCTTCCAGCTTCCTGACCTTCTTCTTTATGATTCCTATCCTCTTAGTGTCTGTGAAGATCGTGTTCTCCTAGAACAACAATATTTCAGGCATTTATTACATTTGATTTTTTCCAGCTTGTGGTAAATGATAATCTGTGACTGTTGGTCACAGTCAGTCTACTCTGACTTACACCAGTCGCCCATTTGGCATACATCACTCCGTTCCATTCTCCTTCAACAGAGCAGAATGACTTCTTGTCATTGGGTGCGCTGGAAGAAAAGTAAAAATAGTAAGAGTTTTAACTTCTCAGTTTTCACTCTTCGACTATTCAAAGAGATATCAAACAGTTCTTACAAGATCTCAGCAGTGATCCTGTGCTTCTTTCCTCCGTAGAAGGGTTTGGTGTGGAACACTATGTTTGCACTGTAGCCAGACTTGGAGCAGGAGATGTTGCACTCACCACCCAGCTCCACCCACGGCACAGTCAAAATCGACCTGCAGATAAAGACTTTTGTCAGTGACGCCAAGGTAAATCACATTCCAAAGACAGTCAGTGACGCCAAGGTAAATCACATTCATATTTCAAGTGGTGACAAAGACAAAGACACACACCTGCCGTATCCATTAGGAAAGGTGAGGATGTAGTGTTCATCGTGCTCCAAACACGACACACAACCTGATACAAAAAAAGAGTGAAATATATTAAAGAAATTCTAACAAAGTAAATGTTTAGTTCAGAGTTCGTTAGAGAAATCCTCTCGTACCTTGGCCGATGTTGTGGACACCTATGGACATTCCTAAGAACTTTGACTTTGTCCAGATGTGAGCGTTGAACTGGATCTTCTTGCTGTAACATTCGGCATAAAATGCAGAAACTAAAGAAAGAAGAAACAAGGTGGAAAATCTCAGGGAGGGTGTAACAAATGAGGATAATGCTCAAAACTCCACACACTGTATGTTCTAAGCACTCACTGGGCGGGTGGTGAGAAACCTGCTCTGCAACAAAACACACATTGTTGGGTGACGACCAGGGAATGGGACCATCAGAGACCGTCTCCTGGAGGACAGAACAAAGTTAGGGTTAAAAAAAAAACACACTATCATTCTGTTGTGTTTGAGAGGTTCATTAAGATTCTCATGAGAGAGATTAAAAAAAAAAAGAAAAAGAAACAAATAAAAATAGCATTTGTTCTTCTTCTTGTTTTCTTCTCGTCATGAACCACTCACACAGGCTCAAAGAGGTTTGACCTTGTTTACATTGGTCAATAAGACGCTGACCACAGATGAACGTGTCCTCACCATGAGTGGTGAAGCATCGTCCGCCTCACTGGGCAGATCCCAGTGACAGTAGAAAACCTCTCCCAGGATTGGATTGTAAGGCTTTTTGGCGACCGAGCCTTTCCTCCCGGCGTGGAAGGCGGACAAGTACCATTTGACCACCTGAACCATTCGCTCCCGAGGCTCCGGCTGCTCCGCGATGCTGGTGGAAATAGGAAGCACAGTTTGATGATTCTCTTTGTTGTTGCTTTTTTTTGTTGAATTTGAAAAAGACAATTTTATTAAAACATAGAAAAGTCCAAAACGGTTCATACCTTACAAACAAATCGGGATGTGCAAAAAAGTCTGCATACATTTCTAATAAAGATCTTCGCTCTAGAATGAAAGTAGGAAGCACCACCTGGGAAACAAAATGAAAAGAGAATTATGAATATATGTTAAAAAAAGAACACGTTCCCACTGGTGTCATGCATACATTATTACACTGCCCACCTTGGTGAGGTCCATGCCCAGACGGACTTGAGAAAGCAGATGCATGATGACGCTTTTGTGCTCCTCCACAGACTCGCCCTCACCATCGTCGTCACGATCGTCGTGGCTGTCAAACATATCTGATGAAAAGAAGCAAAAAATGAAAATGTTTTTCAAGAGGAACACGGTCTCTGCATTTCTGTGTGAGACTAATTTTATTCTCCTGTTTCCCTGAAACTTTATTTATTAGCAGGAAGCTCTCGTCACCTGCGTCTGTGGTTCCATTGGACATGGACGAGTTGAATGACTCTGTGGTGTTGGGTCTCTTCAACACTGTCTCTTCATTGGTCAGAGGTGTCGCAGCTGCAGGACCTGAGGGGCTGAAGACAACAAGAGAGAAGAAAATAGATATAAAAACATGGAAAAGTAACAACCACCTTTATCAAAACAACATTAACTGTTATAAAGGCAGAAGGAAAACAGGGCAGAAGGAAAAAAAGACAGAAGTAAAAATACAAAGGAAAAAGAAGACAAACACGAAAAGAGAGGAAGAAATATATTAAAGAAAATAACAAGAAGAATGATGGATAACAGATAAAGATGTGAAAAGAATAAGGCAGACAGAAATGCTGAAAGAGTCAGACAGCGGGGTAGAGCTGCTTCTTTTTCTTCCTCTCTTGTTTTTGCAGATGCAGCTGAACTGAGCCACCTGTGTGAAGCTGCTAAAAGCACTACATTTACAGCGTTGCTCTCCAATGTCTCAGGCATTAGAGCCACTTCAGGACAGTGACGGCTGCAGCCAGGTGGGGTGGGATGGGGTGGACTGGACCTGCTACTGTACTCACTCTATGCAGTGTTTGGGAGAAGTACTGGTCTGGTAAAACTCGTCGGCATCGTAAAACTCGTCCTCACTGGAGGAGTAGGAAAAATCTGGCACCGAGTGCGAAGGCAGAGGGATGTGAGCCGGGGAGGAGACGCCACTGCTGGGGCCTGAGGGACCACTCCCTGAGAGGAAGGGGGAAAAAAAACCACACATTCAACTAGTGTTGACATAGCACACAGATGTTTTTTTGAGTTGAAAAACTCATCTACAGAGCCCAGTCCAGCAGCAGATGAGCAGCAGCCAGTCTTTAATACAGTAATTGCTTCTTCTGCAGAGCGTATTGACGGCCCTTCTGAGCACGCAGCCTGCCTCCCTAATGCACAGCACAGCGTTTTAATACTGCTGCCTCAGCACACAAGATAAATAGGCAGGAACCTTCGCTGTCTCTCGCCTTTGGACTAGGCTTTTATTTACACGGCACTCTGGCCTGGAGAAGTAAAAACAACAAAGTGCTGCCATATTTTCATATACGTCACACCTGAGTATTCGTCATATTTGTCAAGATCTGCAGAAGGAAAAGGGACATAAGTTGCACCGATTTACAAGGACTCAAGAATAAAGGTTTAATCTGATCTGCTGGTAACACACCTGTGTGAGAGATCATCAACTATTATTGAATTATTAACGAACACTTTGTCTTCATTCGTCAAAGAGGCAGTGAAAGGCAGGAAAATGAAATTAACAAGTTCAACAACAACAACAGATTCGTCAGAAAGTGTTTTTGCTTTAATCGCTCTCAAGACCTAAGATAATGCCCTCTAGTGGCCACAGATGATATGGGGTATATTTTTAATATAAAATTAGAATGTAATAAAATCAGGAAAATACAGTTTTAACTGGCTGAGCTTTTAATACATTTTTCTTTTGAGAAAAAAAAAATTAAAAGGTTTAAATTCTCAGTTTATCTGTCCCGACCAATTTGTGGCTACTGTCTAAACTAAACTAAATTTAGGTGACACTAAAATATTTTAAATACTACAGTAATACTATCCACAATGCTTTTGTTTGTAGTGTCTGTAAAATAATCCAACAAATCAAGGATATAGGGTGACAACAACATAACAACAATGAAAAAACGTAAACTCCACCTGTGCTGTTGGGAGTTGGGGTTTGCAGACTTCCCATGATGGTCACAACAGGACCCACAGGCAACGTGGAAGGTCGTTGGTCTGATTTACACACCTGAGAACCGTCTTCATGCAGAAGAAAAAAAAGGCACATTAATACAAAACTTATGGTGTTGGAAAATCACTCTAGATTTTTAAAAAGCTAAATAAAAGTTAGCTCTAACACATAGAGATGTTACATTTATATAGACTAACCCAAACAAACATGACATTAGTGCAGCATCACCTGATCACAATTAACACAGTTAATTAATCACATTCAGGTAGAAACCTATTATTAATTCAATAATTCGGCAGCACAAAGATGTCATTTTTATAAATATTTTCAAAACATTTGAAATTTATATCAACAGGTAGTAAAGTTGTTTTTTTTGTGTGCAAAGTACAGTACAGTGGACTGAAAACAGCAGGAGGAAAATGTGATGACGTCAATAGAGGGCACTAGAGGGTTTTCAGTTTTTGGTTTAAACTTCAGCTTGATTCTGGGACTACGATGAAAAACCAGGCAGCAGAAGAGATGATTAGGTCAACAACACACACACACACACACAGACACACACACCTGTTGGTAGTGCTGTCTGTGTTGGCATCGTGGTGTCGACTACAGGAGTGTCCAGAGGCGGCTGGAAGATCCCATCTACTGGGTTAATGGTGCTCTGAAGGAATAAACACAACACCGCAGTTAGAGTGGCATAAAAGAACTACCTAAAAAGATAAATCGACTTCTTGACACATCAGCTACAAACTATCTATACTGTAAAGAAAAGAAAAAAATATTCCAGCTGCCAATCACAATAAACCCCAGTCCTTCCACCTTCGAGCTCAGACACTTCCATTCCTCTTCCACAAAAGCAGCTAAAACTGCAAGAAACTGCAAGAAATCTAAACCTGTATTTGAAACCTTTGATTAAATTACTGAGCAAAACATGTTGGAGGCATCAAAAACGTTGGTTGGAAGCATCAAAATCTTTTTTTTTTAAATCATCAATTTGCTTATAAATTACTCATTATACTTATATATTTTTTTTCTTATAAATTACTCATTATACTTATATATGAAAACAGGGTTTTGTAAATGTGGCCACCAGCTCTCTGTGCAGTTTTCATTGATCCCTTCGATGCTGTACTGATGCAGCACACCGACCAATGAAATATATACCTGCTATATGTTATGGGAAGATCAATTTCCTTGACTACACTTCCTGGAAAGAAGTTACCAGGTTTCACCAGTGTGATCAATAATAAATTAACAACAGAGGTGGTCATTTCTCTGCCATCAGAGCCTTCACACACGCTAACTAACCGTGATTGGTGCAGCATGTCTGTACTCTAGACCTTCATTCATCCACAGACAAACTGACGCCAACAACATCAGCAATACGTGTGATGACACAGTGAAATTTATTGACCCTCACATTAAAAAAAACAAACAAAAAACCCACCCCAGGTCTGCTGTGTACACAAATTTGTACACTTGCTTCAGAGTAATCTCTAAATCTCTCTGACTGAGTAAAGGTCACAAAAAAAATCCAAAACACTGCCAGTGTTTCAGTGACTGTAAACAAAGCCTGAGTCCAGTGCAGTGACTATTTTCTCCATTTTACAGATGCAGAAGCAACGCTGCATTTAACTGTTCTTATAACACACACACACGTGTTAGTCAACCACCTATAACCCTTCACATCGCACCGCCTACTGTTCTTAAAAGCCTCAGGAAACGTTTGACATTGATTTTCCTATCTTCCTGGAAGCTATTATGTTTTGCCCATTGTTTATTATATGAATAAGTATTTGTTTGCAAAGAAAAGGCTTAAATAGAATTAGATTAAAAAGAATTGTTGCCTTCAGCTCGCATAAAAACAACATAACATTTGTGTAACCTCAACCCAAAACAAGTCAGAGGTTTTGGTGTCGCTAAACTAACACATTTATTAAACGATGACACAGATGTTGACAGACAGATAGGAAACCAATGTCTTTGAATTGGAAAAGTGTTGAAAAATAAAGCAAATGTGTCATGAGTGAAAACATGCTGACACACAGCACTGAGCTGCTGGTACTGAGCTCAACACCAGGGCAGTGTGGATCCAAATCAATAGTGAATTAGTGGATGAAGTAAAGGTCAAATGAGACGTGCAGACACGTATGTTTGACATGTGCTGTGTGACCTAAGAATGGAGACACTGGCTTTTCATATCTGGAGCGAGCTTGCACACAGACACATTTCTATCTTCACAAAGAAAAGAATAGTTCCCAGCCAATGCATAAATTTAAATTCCAAATTACACCAGATAAGAGTTAATTAAGAGCACAGACATGACAGACACCAGGGAAACAGTTGGAGGCTTTTCTCCAAATAAGATTCCATGCAGTTAAGAGAACCGATTAATCAAAGTTTTTTTTATAGTAGAGAGTAAACAAAGTGGGAAAAGAAAGTTAGCAGTGGCTTTGATTTCCAAATGTCTTGCCATTGACAGAGGTCGTCAAACTTACTATAAGTCCGTTTGCATGATGCTGTTCGTTACTTTGGTCCTTAAAATTTTGAGAAGACAAGGTTAGACTACTGGTGAGAATCATCTTTAAAAAGAGCATCAATCACAGCCGTCTTCAAACCTCTCCCATTCCATGATGTTCACCAACGTCCCACATGCAATAGGTCGTTCATCACACGGAAAAAAAAAACCTCCACGTGGTTCTTATAGATCAGCAGAGACTAATCTACATTAGTCCAGTGTGTCAGATTTGTGGATGTCGGAGCAGAACATATGGTTTTTAACCGTGTTTTAAAGATGAAAATGTGGCCAGTCACAACGTTATTATCTTTTTGCACAAATAAATCAAATGTTGTTCCACAAATTCAGAAATGATCTTATTTTTGATTTTATTTTTTTATTGATTAGTTCTATTAATATATGAAAAAGCTAATATAGGTAGTATAACAGTGTATTTTCAGAAAGCTAATTTGACTGCAATTCACTGGTAACTTCATATTCTGCTTATATAGTTTTAATTAGTCTAAAGTATAAATTTAAGAGCCAAAACAAATGTATACATTTTTGACTTTTTAAAATCTATTTACATTTGGTTCCATGGTGTAATGGTTATCACAAAGAGTGACAAAGAGTCGAGGGTCCTGGGTTTGATTCTCAGAGGAAAAGAGTGATAACAAAGAGTCGAGGGTCCTGGGTTTGACACACCCCTGATGGTGCCTCCCGTGTCAGTTACAAAGACTCACACTGTAAATTTCCCCATCGTCGGGGTAAATAAGGGACTCAGTTATATTATATTATTTAGATACTTTTACTTATTAATCCTTCCCTTTGGGAAATGAAGGAGTTTAAACTTCTTAAAGATTTCTGAAAGACGTCTTTCTTGGCTTTGACGAGTATTCATAAAGATATCTCTGACCGTCTCAGCACTTGAGCGGTGAATGTTACATCTGGGTCTGAGCTCCACAGTCTTCTTTAATCTGGTTTCAAGTCTTACAATCTGGTGCTGCAGCTGGACCTGTGACTGTTACACTATGGTTCTATGTTCAGCACAAAGGGGTTTTTTTCACCTTCACAAAAAAAAGGATCCTGACACCTAACAAACACAAGGCGCAGAAACAATTGCTGCACTTCCTTTTAAATAGTTAAACAGAACAAGTGATGAAACAGATACTTGCAACACCCTCACCACCAACCACACCAGTGAGTAGGGAACTAACCCAGAAACATACACACACACACACACCCTCACACGCACAGCACACCATGCTGAAGAGCACGAGGACAGTGACTGTTAGTGATGTACACCATGCTGAAGTGCACGAGGACAGTGACTGTTAGTGATGTGGTGGGACAGGGACAAGGACAGGGACAGGGACAGGCCTCAGACAGGTACGTTAAAGGAGTTCCAAGTGCATTTACCTTAGCGATTTGCAACAGTACAATGCAGTGCTTGATGGACTCTACCATGCTCTGAAAAGAGAAAAGACAGGATTCACAAACAGCCAAACTTGAAGACAACATGATTTAAAAAAAAAAAGTTGTGACTTACACATGTGGTCTCCTTCAAATTTTCTATTTTCTGTAAAGAGAAAACACACAACGACATCACTTGACCATTAAAAAAGAAGCTGGAAAAGGTCACTGTTACTCATCTTTGACACACCCAAAAAAACCACAGTGGGCGGACAGGTCATCATGACAAACAGTGAGTGTTAATGACAAAGAGGAAGTGAATGGATTCAGTTGAGAAACAATAGACAATGAAACTGACACCCTGAAAAAAAAAACCCTAAATCTCAACAGCCTTCGTTGTTGTAGCTAATAAAGACATTTTTACTGAGATACTGAAGTTAAAAACAGTTGTAGCTAATGAACACATTTTTACTGAGATACTGAAGTTAAAGTTGAGACAACGTTAAGAGACTCATTTCAAGTACGTGGGAAACTGAGGAAACCAACTGCAGCCATTTAAAAAAAAGAAAAAAGAAAGATTCAATAATCAGCTGTTGCTGTCTGTTTCTTTATCAGTGCAGTAATTCACGCCTACAGAGTGAGCAAACTCATTCGACCACTAACGATAACTGATCTTACCTTCAAACACTGCACGTTATCAGACAAATGGCACGGAGGATTCACTTAAAAGTCGCCAACGAGTTTAGAAATGTGAAAAAAACTCTCTTGGTTTCCTTTGATTCACTGATCGCATCAAAGGCAGGAAACGTTGGCGTGTCTTTTATTAAACACTAATAAACCATAGCTTTAGAAAAAAAAGGCATATTATTGAAAAAGAGAGTGTTAGCATTTTCCAATGTGGTAAATTTGACAATAACACAGAGCACACTGACGCCTTTCTGTTTTTCCTCTCTCTCTTAAACTTAGATTAAAACCTTTCCACTACTGCAAGACACAAATGAATGACAACGTAAACATGGAGCAGAAAGGCCGGGAGACAAGGACGGAGACGCTGTGCTGGTACTCACTCTACGTGATTCATCTTCTTTGCAGTCCTTGATCTTTTCATCAAACAGCTGTGTGAAAGAAACAAGTGCAGCAACATGAGCTGAGCTGAACACAGAGTGAAGAATAAAAGCATAAAAACGGTGACTCTGAAGAGAGCGTGTCACGTTATATAGAGCTGCTTCTAATACAGTCAAAGTATCACAGCCGACTTCTGCTTTATCGAACAGACTGTCAATAACACGAGATGGACCAAAAGAAGAAGAAGAAGACGGTGATTTATAATCAGAGTCACAGCGAGATTCTCCACATACACTAGAATATAATCTAATCTAATTTCTTATTTCATTCTAGAAGATGTAAAAAATCTACTTTACCTCTGAACCCAAACACTTCCAAATAAATGGCACACACAATCAAAACTGTCAATTTGACGAAGAGTGAATTGTTTCTTACCTTTAACTGGTCTATTAGAATCTGCAGGTAGGCATCAGCTTCAGCGAGCTTCTTATCAAAGTCCTGAACACTTGGAACTAATCCAGTCTCGGCCTCCTGGAGGTTAAAAAAAACAAAAAAACAAAACTGAGGACTGGACAGACTAAAGACTACAGTCCAGACATAACTGCTGGTGAGTAAACACCTGTCTGTGATAAGACAACAGACAACTGTAGTAAATCAAACAAACGGTTGAAATTCCAATTTTAACCTCATTCACTTTTTCATCTTCATCCTCATTTAATCTGGGGCCAAAAAAAGAAGGTTTTAACACGGTGTAGTCACTGGAATAACAACAGAAGGTTTTAACTCATTTTGAACACGGTGTAGTCACTGGAATAACAACAACAACAACAACCGTACTCCACAAGGTCCTAAATGTTAAACACATTTGTTTGACCAGTGACCTCTCCTTCACACCAGATACATGGTCAGGTGACCAACCATGCAGTAAAACACGCAGTACTGTTCAGTGTAATTACTGCGACACAGGCCTTCAACTAAAATGGATCACTCTGTAAAAGAAAACAGTGATTTATAAACTGACACTGGCTGTTGAAACGAACGGGAAGTAAGTCCGCCTTTTATCAAAGCACCTCTGATGTTTCCGTTGTTTCAGACCGGCTGCTCCGATGACTCCTGTGTCGTCCGTAGTTTGACAAAACTTTACTCTGTGTTAGTGACACCTTCATGGGGATGTGGAGAAAGGCCATTGAGTAAAAAAACAAAAATCCCACAAGCTCCAGTCTGAGCTCAGTTATAATTCACTGTAGAATACAGTGAATTATAACTAATGTACACGGACACTTTGTAGAGCACGGTGTCGGAGGTTACTCAGTAGCCAGGGAGCCTGGCTAACTGTTAGCTAACGGCACTTCGACAAGATCAAAGGTGATTCAATCGTCAGCATAACGGAGAAAAGAAAAAAACAAAACTCCACACGGCTGACGACATGAGCACTTGAGCAAAAAAAAAAAAACAAACAAAAGAAAAAGTAATATTACTCCTGTAAAAAATGCTTGTCAAATGTAGAATTAAAGGAAAACTTTCACTAAAGCTCAGGTGTGTTTTATTTGTTTATCTAGACATTTTAAATCGATCCTGTCCTATAAGAAATACCACACCATGATGTCGGGGATTCCAGTTCTACTCAGTTTCTAAAATATTCACAGACATCTGACACTCCGCTGCTCCGACTGGTTCTCCTGAACAGACTGTAAACAGACTGTAAACGTACAGTCATTATATCAAACACTTCCTGTTTTTACCTCAGTCACTCAACACAGATCCTACAAACAACAACAGAGCTCTTTCACCTTTCTCCTCCTCCCCCCCCACACACACACACAGTGACCCACTTTAAACTGCCTAAACCACTGCAGTAAAGTGTGGTGTTTGTGTTTTTCTACTCACTGGTTGCCTTTCTCCAATGGACATGCCGTATCAAAGTGTCAACATCTCTCCCATCAGGCCACGCAGCCTGAGTAAGATGGCTCTCCTTCCTTTCAGTGACTTTTTTTATGGTTGTTTTTCCTCTAACTACTGTAACAATTCTTTTTTTAGCAGTGAAACAGTTGCTGTTCTTTCTCTCTCCTCCCTCAGGCCAAAACGGTAAACTCCCTCCTCGGTATTCCCTTCACTGCAGTCTCCCACACTGTGCGTTCACTCGGTGGTGAGTCCAGCTTTGATATATATCCTTCAGCTGCAGTTATCAGCTTAGTGTTTGGTATGAGGCAGTGCTGACTTAATCCTGGACCCTCCCTGTCTCCCTCCCTCTCAGGGCAGGAAAGCCTCACTTCCTCTCATGTCAGACAGAAGAGAAACACACAAAACGGCACCACTCAGAAGGACAAGTATAAGAGCTTCACCGATTGGCTCTTCAGGACAACATTCGGGTTGATCCAACAAGCTGGTCTTCGATTGGATAGAGCTAGGTCACATGACGCCTGAGCATGTGTGTCAGCGCACCGATGCAAGCAGGCACACGTAGCACATTAGGAGTGTTTCACACAGGAAGAGGAGGGAGGGAGGCCACTGGGTAAAAAATATTGAGTTTTAGAGAGGAAAAGTAAGAGGCTGGTGGAAAGATCTGTGTGAGGTGTGGTGATGATGTCACGGAACAAGGGCAGAGGGTTGGCTGGACAGCAGGGGGAAAAACTAAAAGGCAGTGGTGGGGGAGTGGCCAAGAAATTCATTCTAATTACATCTATTTTTCCTTCTGTTTCATAGAACTTATTATCACACAAAACACAAACAAAAAAAGTGTAGCATGGGGGGAGAAGGGGGGTTAGGGGGGCATCAACCACCTCATGTCTGTCACTTGAGAGAGAAAAACGTGACATTAGTGTTGAGCTAATGCTGTGACGACTCCATGGCCTTGTGGGTAATAAATGACTGACCTCTAGTGAGTTGATGTGGTCATTAATATTAGACATAGTACTTTGTTAATTATCACACGACGATGCTACACAATGTATAAATAAAAAATTACTAGTAGGTTTATCCCTAATCATATTCTTATTTGTGTACTCACAGAGAGTACCAATACTAATACTTTACAACGTTAGGGAATGCGACTGGGAAATGGTCAACACACCAAGTAGGAACGTACTTATCAGAAGGCTATTTCAAGTTTAAAAAGACACTAAATGTTTCCATGGCAACAGTCTTTAAACTGACACTGTCGTCATATTAAACAATCAATAAAACCACGGATAAAATAAATACAAAATAAATACAGAACTACAACTACAATATAAAAACAGAACTAAAATTAAACGTTCTTCATTTCAATTAAAAACAAATATATGAAACCAAACACTGGCTCCAGTAAAGACAGAGTCCTTTAGACTGTGTGACGATATTTTCATGTATCAACTAAACAAATAACACATGGACAATGTCGTCAAATAACTCACAACAAAGTGACCTTGTAAAGTGACCCATCTTTCCACTGTGCCGTGGATGTAAAGAGAAGTTTTATCAACTGGCTGAACTGCAGTAGCGAAACACAAAACACTCACTGACAGATGCGCAGCTGCCTACAGTAAAAAGACATTAAACTATTTGGATGCTGGACTAGTACGTGTTTTTTTTAGTACAGATACTTGAAAGAAGTATCTTCTGAAACCATCGGTCGTCGGTGCATCTGTAAAAACTAGTCGTCCAGTTTGATGAAGTGAGACTAAACTGATCAAATATAATGTCATCCAATGCATCCAAAAAAGAAAGTTAAAACATAGTTAACATTTGGCCAACAACATTTCCTAAATATGAGGCCTAACAAAGATTTTGTGAACATAATTTAATGACCATTAGAAATCCATAATCTGAAACATCAGAGTTTCTCAATCGATGAGTTTTAACGTATGTTCATGAGGGCGGTTTAGAAAAAAAAAAAAGGTTAGAGAATGCCGTATGTTTTACCAACTGTTTGTTCACATTTTCAGTTCTGTATGGTAATAGTTTCTATACCTCATGCAAAACAGATTAAAAGTCGGCAGATATTACCAGGCCACTGAGCCGGGGACTGAGCCCTCGGGCAGACTTTTGTGTAAATATACCAGGTGGATTAACTGCACAACACATGCAAAGTCTAAAGAAGCAAACAAGCTTACGTACTCGGAGTTGGAGGGTGTGACGCAGGATGGTTCCCTCTAAGGCATGGATCCACTTCTCCCGCTCATCTGCATCTCGGGCTGAGGGTTAAAAAAAAAAACAAAAAAAACACACACACATTCAATGAAGCAGGTTCACAGGACACACATCAGAAATGATTTGTGTAGAGGACTAATGATGTAAACATGAAACAAGAGAACAATGAGTCATTTTTTAATTTGACCAAAGTTTTAAAACATAATCCAGGTTAATATGCAGAAGGAGAAACAAAGCAAGTGAAACATAAAGAAAATCACTGAAAAAAAACCCCACTCACAACAAGGTTAAAAATAGTCACTATTTCAATGATGGAAAATATCAACAATCAAGTCATATTTCCTGCTCTTTTGTAGCACTGTATTTACCATCAACATGTTACTTAAAACAATGGGTCAAATACAGTATATTCACAAAGGCGTCAACCTCCCCATCAACATGTCACTTAAAACAATGTGTTAAATACAGTATATTCACAAAGGCGTCAAACCCTTACTCGGCGTCAAACCCTTACTCAGACCTGGAGTTACATCATTCTAGGAACCTGTACCATTTTGTGCGACTGAAGTGGTTGAAGTCACACCCCGGCTTCAGACAGAAAACAAACAGACTTTCAGTGACATTAAACAATGACCCACTGCAGGCCTCAGGACATGCACAGAAAATGACATAATGGGTTTGAAGTCATAGGTGCAAAAAAAAAAACGTGTTTGACAAATAACTTCACCACTGCTTCACGGTGAATGTGGAAACACATCAGAAACAAAATACAGTCCTGCAGGCTGTGGAGGAACGTCGTAAAATATACGGCACTGAACTGGCAGGCGCAACTTCACATCCTGTGTAAGAGTCATTTTTGATTGAGTTGGAAACATGACGGTGCAGTAGATGGAATGGCTGCTCTCGCTGAGAGGCTACAGCACAAAAGCTTTTAAAGACATTAAAAAGAAACAGAGGCTCTGGCCAATCCACTCAGACAGCGCCTCACTGCTCTCTCACTCACCCCCCCCTCAGTCAGAGCAGATTACACAAGCTGATGATGTTCTCCTCCATACATAGTGTGTGTGAACAGTAGGCTAACAGGGCTGTTAATATACATCAGCTAAGATGACGAGACAGCGTCACAGGTTCAACGTTCAATTTGCTTTAAGGTATGACCAGATTGTCAATGAGCCAGTCGGCCAATCACACGAGGAGACACTTAATTTAAATAGTTAACAAATTTAACAGGGACTGCATATATTTACAAGTATTTGAGTCAAACAGCTAGGTTTAAGCTGCTCATTTCCCTGGTAAATTCCTGTTACAAAATTAGAAAAAAATCCCAATCATTCAAAGGTTTGTGGCCTTATTTCTCTGACTCGTATCCTGTTAATGAGAACCTAGACAAGAGTATTAAAACAGACTGAAATCACACCAACAACAAAGTTTATATATCTCAAATAAACCTCATCTTCTATATGTAGTCAATAAATGTAAATGTCACAGATAAAATTCACTTGTCCTTTACGGTGTCTTTAAGACTCTTGTCACATGCTTTTTTTTGTGTGGCTAAAATAAAATTTAACAGAGAAACAAAAGGTCACCAGGCTATTTTAAACTAGCAACAACATTTCACACCACGTTTTATGAGGCTGGTGAAAGTGCAAACGGTTCCATGGCCAGTTTAACAAATGATATCTAACAAAGACTGCATTTGTTCCAAATGACAGGGAGAACAGTTCATGTGGATTGCAGAAATGTATAATTCCCTTGTCTTCATGCATATTATCATTAAATGGAACAAATTTTACATTTAGGGACATTTTGCTGACGTCACATAGACTGTAGAACTGTTCAATTTGTACAAAGTACAAAAAGTGACCCCAACATAAACAGTACAGTCCAAATGTTCTACAATTCCAGCAAGCAATGTTGACTCCCCCAAACCCTCCACTGCTCAGTCAGGAAGTCAGGCAACAAACGGTCTCCAAAACTTAATTAAATGCTGTATTTCTTCTTTGAATAAAATACTTTAGAGAGATATTCATCCTCCTTTTTGTGTTCAAACCATTGCATGACTTCAAGCAGTTCAAAGTTAGACAATTCATTGAAATAAGTTGTATCCCTGGAAAAACACGTTCAAAAATCCTAGTATTATCTACAGCTTTATTTGAGTGACACTGCAACGACTACGACGATAATAAACGCTGATATGTTGTTGTCAACGTTAGCAGCGATTTAGATGGATGGAAACACATGAACTCATCCCCAGGTGTCTGGGTCGACTGAACCACGTGGGCTCCACACACACACACACACACAGACACTAGACTTCGATTTGATCATGATTAGGTTCAGTCAGCAGCCTGTAAAAGTGAGCTGTAGACTGATGGGGTAGAAGAAGAAAGGTGGGACACTGATAGCTGTCGTTGACAAAGAGGGGAACGAGAGCATAGGGGGTAAAAAGAGGGGAAATAGATGGGGGGGGGGGGGGGGGGGGGGGGGGGTCGGGGTTTCCAGTGGACACCCACAAGGGGGAAGAGGAGCTGATGAATAATGAATGCATCTCTAAATAGAAAGACGGTAGAGAACTGCAGTGGAGGTTCACACAGTGG